TCCTCTCCTAGAAATTTCTTTGATTGATGATATTACAGGATCGGTATAGATGTTTTTTTTTTTTTATTATTTTCCATATATCACGATCTTTTCTCCTCATCATTATTCCTTGTTGACAAGTGCGATAAAAGCAAAGTAAATAACGTACGACAATCGACAGAGGGAACTTTCTCCAATTTGGGCAGATCCCAAATTAAAGAAGGCGTTGGCTGCTACCCACAGCCATGCCCATTTCATAGTACGGCCGTTGTCCCGCAATCTCAGCACACAATATCGCCCCAATTGAGTTCCGCTGGCTTTGCAACAATTACATCACATCCGGCACGGATTCGAGTACAGTTTGCTGTATAGAAGTTTCCTCGTCAGAGTTTGCAGTTATTTATCTTTCTCTTTATCTCTCTCGATTGTGTCAGGTACACGACAATATCTATCCACGATGTAAAGATTAATTTTTTTAAGCAACCAATTTGTTAAGTTAATAAATAGAAATCGACTTTATTTAGGCGAATACTTGATGGAAATATTTAACAATTCCTATTTTTTTATTTTATATACATTTTATTTATTTTTATTCCTGATTTTTAATATTGAGTATAATTAAATTTATAAATTAATTTTTATTTATTACAGAAGAGAAAGAGAGAAAAATAGAAAAAATATAAAACATCCTTTTAATTTTAGAAATTAACGAATATCTATTGTTGATGGAATACGATTCTTGCTCTCTTGCGACATGATTAAATATGACGTATATATAAGTAAGTATGAGGCATCTCGTTGATTCCTTTGTCCGATTTCTTTTTGAATTGTTAAACAAATATTAGCAATTGGAGAACGGTCTCTCTCTCTCTCTCTCTCTCTCTCTCTCTCTCTCTCTCTCTCTCTCTCTCTCAGCCTGGAGCAATTGTTCCAGTTGTTTCTTCCGCGACGAGCAACCTTTTCTCAGCAATCAAGCCAAGTCAGAACGGAAATAAAGGCGAAGTTCGAAGTCAGAGCGTAAGCGGAAGTGTGCATGATGACGTCCGGGTGGACATGGAAATCAAAACATGAACGGAAGCGTCGGCGAAGGTCGAGGTCAAGGCGAAGACTGAGATCAAGGCCATCGCTGTCGATGCCAATATTCTATTGCCGGGATTATCGTCTATAATTAGTTCATAAGAAGAGAGAACTGATTGATTACGGCTAATTGTTCAGAATCATTAACATCATTGATTCCATCAAGAACGAGATTAGATGGAGATCGGCTGGGATCACGAAGTCAAGGATGTTATCATCCTCGATGGTATCGCCAGTATTAGCGTCGATAACATCCGCAATTTAGAAAGAGGCATCTTCTCAGGTTCTATTTTATTCGACAGTCTTCGAAGCCG